CGCCTCACCAGCGAGAAATCAATCTGTACCACTGAATCTTTTTCAACCAGCCACCAGAAAATTTACTGCAGAGAAGGCAGTTTGGGGCTAGTCATTGTGGAAGGAGAGTCAGAGGCAAGGCTAAATGGAGGATGGAGGAATTGGAGTCTCAAGAGGAGATTATATTAAACCCCGTACCACCATCAGAGCAAGCAGGATGAAGTCCTCCCTTCAGCCCTGACCTCTTTAAGCGTACTCAGGTATTTACAGCTGCCATGAAGCTGACAGCCCTAGAGAAACTACAAAGGGGGTGATAGCAACAGTGTAAATCTGAAAGCTGATTGTCGGTTAGCCATTTGTTATCTTTCAACATGGATACGTGGTCCCCTCTCCACAGTCTACAGCAGTTCACATGTTAACCCTCTGGTGACAGTCTCTATTGTGGCCTTCTCAGTTTATGATCTATGCACTGAACAGGAGAACCTATAAATCACAGCTGGATGTGGGAGCCATGCTTCTGTGTACAGCACACACCCTGGTGGCTAATGACCAGTGGGTTCCTCTCGGCATAGTTATAAGAATGGTAATAGCGTTACATTTCTCAGTTAACAGATTTCACTGACTCTAGATGAAACTGGTGATCTTGTTGTCCCCAGGATTCCATTCCTCTTCCCCCTCTCCTCCCTTCTCCCTTTCTCTTCTCTTTTCCTTCCCTTTTTTTTTTTTTTTTTTTTTTTTTTTTTTTTTTTTTTTTAAAAAAAAATTTTTTTTTTTTTTTTTTTTTTTGTGGGTCTGGGCATCAAACCCAGGGCCTGTGCTTGCTAACCAACTGCTCTACTGCTGAGCTACACCCCCAGCCCCTAGGATAGTTTCCTGTATCATGTACTTAAGAGGAGGGGGAACCAGGAGGGAGTGGTGAATTGGAAGTGCCAAGCTCAAGAACCTTTGATCTTACCTTGGTCATTTGTGTTGGAATTGACCAAGGTGTAACTACTGGAAAGAGAGAAAAAGAAATAGAGCCAGACGGGGAAACAAATATTTTCCTTTGCTATAAGCAGGCAATAGCCAGCTCTAAATGTTTCTCCCTGAGAAATTTGAAATCCTTGAAGGAAGTATTTTAGTGCAATATATTTACATATAAAACCCTACTAGAAGGGGCATGTATGTGCGTGTGTGTGTGTGTGTGTGTGTGTGTGTGTGTGTGTGCGCGCGTGCGCGCATGTGGATGAGAAACGCCGAACAGCAGCAGAAGGCTGTCCCCTTACCCCTAATGGGATTTTGTAGCAGCATGTGCGAGTTTGTTTCAGAAGTCGAAAATGAACAGATGTTGGTATAAATTACCTCTGTGTCTGATGTCTTGCAAATTAAAAGCGCGGTTGGCATCACTAAACAATTTTACTAGGTTTGGGGGGGTGTGGTTTGCAGGCGGTGATTACTGTAGCAAATCGGTAAGAATCTTCACACTGCAGTAGAGCAGGAAAGCAAAGATAAAGAAAAATAAAATAAGGCTCTATGAATTCATCAGAAATGCTAACATCTCTGATGACAAGTGAACAGGAGGGCACGTGCCCTGGAACAGCCCCTGGCTCACAGCAATTTCTCTGTGCACAAAAAGGGGTTGGTGCTTAGGATCTGATTTATAGGGCACAGCCCTCTTTTAGGGAGAGTCTATGTCACACATTCGTATATCTCCTATATGGGACTGGCAAGTAGAGAAACTTTCTCCCCTCCCATGGAGGAGATGATGTCTTTTGAATTACTTCTACTTTTATGGTGGTTTCCTGCAGCTCTGTATACTTGGATTAGGGTGAAGGGGGAGGAATGATTGAGTAGAAAAGGGGCTGTTAAAAGGATTGGTTAAATTCAAGGAGAGCTTGCAAGGGGAGACTTCACAATTTCCATTTATTTTTCCTTTTAAGCCCTTTGTGCCTTCAAATAGTTGAGTCTTTTTAAATTCTAAATTTTACAGTATTCTAAGTCATTCTCTCATTTGGTGGAAAAAACAGCAAGGAACTGGGAGGTCTGAAGGACAACAGCAGAAATCGCCAGTGTTGGAGTGCAGTGCCCAAGGCCCATGGTTGGGGAATGAGGCTGTCTTCTACCTGGCAGAGCTCTGTGTTACCCATGTCTGGTTTCCAGAACGCCTGCTGCTAGCCATGTTGCAAGATCATTTGATACTGAAAATGTTGAAGTCCTTAGTTAGCACAGGAAGGAGTGTAGGTAGGTAACCCATCCTGCAGGAATAAATGATGAGACATATTGGGCCCAAAATATATCCCTGGCCAGGGGCTTAGCTCGGTGGCACTGTGCCTGCCTTGCAAGCACAAGCTCCTGAGCTTTATCCCCAGTACTGCCCACCCGCCCCTCACAAATATATATTCCTGTAGCATGGGCTGAGTGGAAACATTTCTGGGAATGGGTTTTTGTTTGTTTGTAGTACTGGGGATTGAACCCAAAAGGCCTTCACACTGAGATACATCTCCAGTCTTTCTTTTTTTTTTGGTACCGGGGATCAAACTGGGACCTTGCACCTACGACACAGGCAGCAACAGCACTGAGCTAAATCCCTGGCTCTCTGACCCTTTTACATTTTTTTTTTTTTTTTAAATCTTGAGACAGTCTCACTGAATTGCCCAGGCTGGTTGTGCTCTTGTGATCCTCCTGCTTCAGCCTCCCAGAATACGGGGGTTATAGGTATGTACCACCATGCTTAGCTAGGAATGGGGTTTTTGAGATTGCCTGTCTTCTTATTATAATCATTGATTCGTTCACTCAAAAAATGCTGAGTATAAAAAAACATACATACCTCTGAAAAGGGTTCTAGAAATGATTGCCACTATACCGAATAGGTTCATTGTTAATATCAGAAAGAAAAGTAGGAAAAGTAGCATTAACATTCTGTCCATTTTACAGATGAAGAAGATGAGACTCAGAGATACTGTCCAGCCCAGGATGTCACCTGGCTAGTAAATACTACAGCTAGAACTGAGTTCACTTACTGTACTGTGTACTTGGAAGAAGCCTGCACTGCCTCCTATGGGCAAGAATGTACTTGATCAGACTTCCTCCTAGATACTGTAGTTGGAAAAAAATAAAATAAAATACTGTAGTTTGTTCTTTTAATTTTTTTCCTTTTTTTTTTTTGAGACAGGATCTCGCTGTGTAGCCTAAGTTGAACTTAAACTTATGGCAGTCCTTCTGCCTCAGCCTCCTGAGTGCTGGAATTAAAGATGTGTGCCACCATACCTGGCTGTAGTTTGTTCTGTTTTTTTGGTACTGGGGATCGAACCCAGGACCTTGTGCTTGTGAGGCAGGCATGATAGATACCATTGAGCTAAATTTCCGGCCCCATAGTTTGTTCTTGATCCCTGATCTCTTCATTACTTTGGTATTATTTCCATGAAAGAAAAAAATTTTTCTTGCCAGGTAATCAAGGCACATTTAAAAGGAGCCACATAATATAGAGAAAGGAGCCCTGAGGGCCACTAGCTAGTCTTGTTTCTATAGTATAAAGGAAGGAAACTTACATTCATTTTGTTAGACTTTGTCCTTTTGTGTTACCACTCATCCTCATCCAACTAGCATTTATTAAGCAGATGCAGCTATAGCACTAGCCAGTCTACACTCAGTTCTTACACTTTAGTGAAGGAGGACAAGTTTGTGAACAAGTAATTGCATGCAAGTCTTATAGGAACTGTGAGTGTACAATTTGGTATACATTCACCAAGGAAGGAATGACCGATTTGATTGGGGCTAGGATGGGATTGTGGGTATGTGAGGTAAGACCCATCACTGGGGCTTCCACTCCTAACTAATGCAATTCCCTTTTGCTGATTGGTGCTCAGGTACTATCGAGAGCTGGGAGGCACATAGACTAGTTACCAAAAGCCTCCCCATGGCGATGGACTTTGTGTTGTCTTATTTCTTCACTGTGCAAATACACAAGAAACTGTTAAACTTAGGTTGGGATGGAGGAAAGTGAAAGCTTATTTATCTAGCACCATTTGTCTGGACTTGGGTGAGGCAACAAGAAGCCAGAAAAAGGCCTTTCCCATTCCTGTGAGTGCCTCTCTAGCACCTCTCTTCTTTGGGCAGGATAGAGATATGTTCCTGGTAGATCACAGGACACAAGTTGCCCTGCAGTGCTGCATGGTTCCAGACTTCTGGGTGCTCGGGCCAGCCATCAGAAACTTTCAGAATTGTTAAATCCATTTAAGAGATCTGGAAAGATGACCCTGTGGGAGGGGGGCGAAGAGGTTGTTATATTGTATGTGCTCATTGAAGATTTGCTTGACAGAGCTAAAACCGGGCTTCTGTAGTGGCCCTTGTAATTGAGAAATGTTTTACTTTCGTTTTGGAGCCTTATATGTCAGAAAGTAGCTGTGTAAACCCACAGGTAACTACAGCATTCAAAGATTGATGGTGCTGAAAGTCAGAGAAAGACACATAAACCTTGCCTGGCTATATTAAATACCTAAGGACTGACAATGCCAAGAGAGAGAAGACCAAAGCTCTATAAACCCTACTTTATTACACTGTCCACAGATGAACTACACCGAGGGAATGTAAACCTTGTTATGTTATAGCATGCAGGGACTACCACTGCTGAGAGATGGGGTAAATGATCTCTGATTTTGATTTGAGATTATAAATGTCCAGAGGCCAATGACCCAGAAAAGACTCTAATCTTGGTTGGGTTTTAGCTTCCAAGAGCAAACCCCATGAGATAGTAACATGAACATTAGGTTAGATTCTTCAGAGGAAGATTTGGAGGGAATTCCCTGCTGATTTTTTTTAAGGTTGGATGATAAAGTCTTCCCCAATTGGCCTGAATTTTATAGCAGTTGCTAACTTCAGAATAGCTTTATCAAGTTTTAGTTGTCAATAGTAGTTTACTTCCCCCTTTTAGGAGGTTAGTGGTGATTGGATCTGTAGTGGCTGCGAATTGGTATACAGTTTGAATCAATCTGCATTTTTTGAATGAATGAACTCTCCCTGCAATCCTTTTTTTCACATTTCAGGTTTTCTCTCTTTTATTTGCTTTGTAATTCCAGCCAGAGAGATGACACGAGGGAAGTTCCTCAACATTCTAGAGAAGCCCAAGAAGTAGCAGCTGCTTGTGCACAGGGACTGTAACCAATCTCCCTTCCCGGTGCAGTTCTGACGATGCACACCTCATGCTTCCTTAGGAGAGGCTGGATCTGTACCTCCAGGACTGCCCTTCCCTGCTCCTGGCACTCTGCACCTCTGAGGACATTTGGTGTCAAGAGAAGAATCTGCTCTACCCAAGGATCATTGCTGTTATTGTCAATGTCTTAGCCTTGGATATAGGTAACACCAGAGGTCCTGTTGTTCTTAAAGGTCGAAGTTGTGCTTTCTCATTTCCAAAAGCGATTTGGGAGCCCCGGGATCTTGTAGTTGATTTAATACTGTGGTGGCAAAGTCAATTGTGTCATGTTGACTGGATGGGTTCTTTGGAGCTGTACTTGATCTCTTAGGCAGTATTTATGATCCGAGGAGATAAAAGACCTACTAGATTCTGGACCAGACCATGCGCCCTGACCTGTGAACTCTCCAGTCTGTAGTAAGTTCCAAGATTCTCCAGCTGGAGAGACCAGAATCTTCTCTCAAAATATCTGCTTTTAAACTCCTACCCTTCTCATGACAGTCCCACCCTCAGTGTCAGTCATTCCCCCACCTCCCAGCCCACCTTTCTGGTCTGATTCCGGGTCAGGAGATCCTTCAGTAGCTTGAAGTGCAAAAGGCCCATGCTGATTGGGTTGAGTTATCTGTTACAGATTTAAGTGAAAGAGTCAGTATGGCCTGACAGGGAAAGGGCGTGGTTTGTGGGAGTTCCCATTTGAATGAAAACTAGAATCCTTATTAACCTAGTGTGTGCTTTGGGATGGAGACAATGTTCTGTTTCCCCTTGTCCCCATTGCAGCATGTATGAAATCCTTAACCCATATGGCAGAAACACACACATACTCACACACGCGTATGGGTGCAAAAGAGAAAGATAATTTCCTGACCGACATATAATTTTCATGGGGTTCTTCCCCAGTTATGTGTCCATTAAAACCTGAAAAGCTAGGCCTGGGGGTTTAGCTCGGTGGTGCTGTGCCTGCTTCCCAAGTGCAAGGTCCTAAGTTTGATCCACGGTACCAAAAAAAAAGCTCACCCAGGGGTAAAATCAGCAATATAGTAATATATATTCCCTCATGTTTTGAGAAGTGCATAAAGTTTCATATCCCTGTGGGGATAGTCCAATAATGTTGGGACACTGGAAATTTGTAGCCAATTTGTGGTCTCGTATGTCTTGAAGGCACTGCGCTCTAGTTTAACCACTGATTCTTGGGCCAATTTCTGACATTTGTGCATGTTTCCCAAGCTGGAGCTAATTTTTGGTTTTTCTCTTATTTGTGCCTTATGAGTATCCATCCGATTTCACTTTTTGAAAGAAAAAAAAAAAAGCGCAGGACACAAGGATGATTGTGAAAAGGCAAATACTCTGGCTGGTGTGCTTCCTGAAAGGGTCAGGTTTAAAGGCTTTAATTAAGCTTATGATTGCTATTTCTTGATCTCCCTAAATGCAGTCAAAGAATATGTGTGTGGAGGTGTCCAAAATTAGTGCCATAATATCGAATTTTTCTTCCCTCTGTCTTTGAGAGTTGATGCTGTCAGGCACTTTGAAGTGTTTGGGGAATTGAGAAGTATGTGGAAATACTGGGACGTCTCCCCCAAGCCAGTCAAGTCTGTAACCGGAAGCCAAGAGTTGGATCTCTGATCTGCTTTGGCCTCCTCCTTTTACTGTTTGTCATCTTATTCACCAGCACTTAATGTAAGTAGGTGTTTTAGAATTGCAATATTTATTGGTTTTGTATTTGTTGTCCTTAGAAATGTTAATGATGTATTTTTATATTGATAATATAAATTTATGTACAGTATGTATGTGTATGTATTTTAGGCTATTAGAACATTGTACCTTGTATATGATGTCCTCATAATAAATATGTCCCTTTTATAGAAGGGTTTTTCCTCAGAGGGCCATGTTGTATTATTTAAAGTGCATATCTCCCCGAGTTTGATCCCTGGTAGCAAAAAAAAAAAAAAAAATTAACATAAAGTGCATATCTCATTAGAAAATACAACTCTAGTGATAAATATTGTCTTTCCCCTTCGCATCAGAATGGATGGTTTGGGGTTCTGTAGTCATTTGCTTGGTCTCCCAGCTTCCAGTCTGGCCTTCTAGATATCCTGCTTCTTCCTGTTCAGCTCCTTCTGGGACCATTTAGGAACCTTTGATACCTACAGATAAAGATGGCCTCAAATAAAGCCAAGGTCTCTCCTGGAATTTGAGGACTGTCCAGAAAATACTGCTTGATCCTCCAGTTTGGTTTCCTTCCTTTCCCCCGTATGAAGTTTCTTTTCCTGTTACTCTGAACAATTCCTCGTTCCTCACTTAAGGGCCTTTGCCCAGGCCATTGAATTCCTAGAAAATCTCGCTTCCCTTTTGCACCCATTCGGCCTGTTCTTCCTGTAAACTCTTGTTGATCCTGCTGGAGATGATCCTTCCCCCAGAATTCTCACAGCCTTTAAATGTACCATCCCTGTGCTCTCACCACATGCCATAGTATGTTGAGGAGAGCTGATCTGTACCTCACACATCCTAGCAAAACATAAGCTCCTCAAGGTTGTGGCTATCTGTGTACAGATTTGCAGTTAAACATGATGGATTATAAACACATTTTTCTCTGCCTCCTCTAAAACCCTGTGTGTGAAAATCCTTTTCATTTGGTTACAGACCTAGAGAAGAAAAAGTGCTCACTAGTGCTCCTCCTGGTACCCTTTGAGAGGTGATCTGCTCTAGAGCCAGGTTTATGCATGTCTGTAATCCCAGCACTTGGGAGGCTGAGGCAGGAGACATAGCAAGACCCTGTCTCCCAAGAAAAGGAAAGAGAAGAAAATTTACTTGCTCTTGATAAGAGCATGCCCTTCTAGAGAAAGCATTCCACTTTAAAGAAAACAAATTGCTAGTTGGAGCACTAAAAGATCCTCAGATATTTTTTCTTACCATAAAAGATACTTGTCATAGGCCAGGGATGTAGCTCAGTGGCACTGTGACTGCCTGGCAACACAAGGTCCTGAGTTCAATCCCGGTACCAAAAAGAACAAAAAAGGGTACTTGTTATATTTTTTTTTTTTTTTTTTTTTTTTAGA